ATTCACTTTACCTAGCGATACACAATCATACGCACACGTTTGTGGGATGGATCGCGTGTATATGGCTCTTTGGACACGCGCGTGAGCAAAATGGCGACTTTGTGATTACTATAATAGCAAAAAACGTATTTGTATACATAATTATTAGAAAATTTTACCTTAAAAAGTAAAGTAAAAAATAGAAATTCAGTCTTTTATTAAAAATTAGCATATAGGAAATATAAGATAATGATTAATAAGATAAAGAATACATTGATAAGTTCGTAAAAGATTGTAAATAAGGCAGAAGAAGTAGATAGCTTATGCTTATACAATATATACATTGTATAATACAATATTGTATAATACAATAATGATATAGTTTATACAAGCTCTATCTAAGAAGTAGCGATACAAACGTGAAATATACAAATATGCACAATATATATATACGTATATATTATAGAAATTGACAATTTATTAACATTTTATTCAATTTATATTTTGATTAATGATATATTTTTTATACTCTTAATAAAATTTGACAAGATAAACGCTGTTTCTAAATACGATAATCATCTAAAATAATTTGATAACATTTTTAAAAAGTACATTAAAGATTACTAATAATAATATTTTTGTCATCGATAAGAGGCTCGGAAAGTAACTCCTCCCCAAAAATTAAAAATATGGATATAACTTTAACCTAAGTATTGCAAATAAAAGTCACTGCTTTAAAGTTTCTTAAATCAAAGAAACCGTATTTTTCTTTTGAGAAGTATAAGGCTTAGTGTAGCCATCTATGAATAACTAACTGAAAGTAGTTTATCATAAAAACTTAAGGATCTTGCATATAAGTATACTTAACTAAAATAATAATACTCAACATCCACGATAAATCCATATTATTTATTATTCGAAAGCAATTTGTTATTACAATGGTATAAAATAAATAAACAATTATTTTTCCTAAGCACTTCTTCTTATAGACAACGATATGAATGTAGAAACAATTATTTTTATTACATTTAAGTCTTTCGTAAATTATATAATCATATTGATTTCTAAAAAAAAAAATGTATATATATATTATTGTATATACAAGTTATTCATTATCGTAATATACATACATTCCTGAGCGAATAATTAATTGTGAGATGATTTTTTTCTAAAGTAATACCCATAAGTATAAAAATATTATATAAAAGTGAAATGTATATTATGTTCGTTTATTTTACAAACAATTATTTCACTATCGATTGTTCGTTCAGAAGTGAACCCAAGTAGCGGCCATTGATTATGCACCAATGAATTTTGCAGTAGTAGGATAAAGTTTTTCTGTCATCTATATTATATTATCCGTCAAATATCTTATTATATGAAGAAAAATATGATTGTGTATTGAAAATTTGTATATATATCAAACAAGCGATATATCTTCGCATATACATAGATGAGCAAGTAATTTTTAAACAAATGACAGCCGGTGTTTCGGTTATTAAAAAAAGTATGATGTTCAAATCGTTATTCTGTACGACAATCGCATATAGTAACTAAACGATGTTCACATAAGTTTAGAACCATGTTTAGCTCGTTAGATTTAAATTGTAAGTTTTATTAATTTGGGCCATTACTTATTATGTTTAAAGTTCGAGTACATATGAACATTTTCTACACACGATTATATTTTTTTCGTTTATAATAAGGTAAAAGATATAGGAAAAGGATATATATGAAGTTTCAACTGTGACATGTGTACAAAATAATAGAGATTTTATGTATTTTCAATGAGCTAATGTTTAGTAGTTCAGCTCTTATTTTTATGTAAAGATTTTTACACGTATGAGTTTATGAATGATTAGGACGACTTCGATCAGGATTTTCCAACCAACACAACTTTACGTATATATTATTAAAGACCGTGGAGGTTTTGTATGTAATTTTTATTAATTGTTTTATTGCGGTTTTTACTAATAACTGCGTCAAAAATTTTAATGTGGATATAAAGAGTATTGGGTATTGCAAAAAATCAAGTCCTTATACAAATTATTCATAGATGAAGAGAGATAGTTTAGACTGCGAGAAAAAGTATCCTGATCTAAGCCATCTAGTGATAGAAAGTAAGATCATCGTTCAGCATTTTCTCGTAAAAATCTCTATATAAAATCAAGAGCATAACTACTATAACAATAGCTTCTTGAAAATATATATATATATAAAATCTTGGTTATTTTGTATACGTGTATATTGTTGAAACTTTATTTGTTTTCTTACAGTTTTATTTTTAATGAAATAACATTAATTAAATAAATCTAATACAAAATATAGCCCATTATTTTATATTCATAAATTTATATGTGATAACACAAAGATTGTAAAATTATATTCTATTATTTATACATTTATTTCGATTATATTTTCCCTAATTTTAATGTTATATTTAAAGCTATTCAAAATAAGGAGAAGTGCATTATTAATTAATAACACAGGACTTTTTATAATAACATTAAAACATTTTTACAGATAAAAGATGGGAATTTTTTATGGGCGAAGTACAAAATTAATGTAGATAATATATTATTTACTATAACTGTTTTCAGAATATTAAAAATTTTAATTTAATTAGTAAAAATATGTTTGCCTTAATTATTTTTAGAAAAGCTACGCAGTGTCATGAAGCTTTCTTCAAAAATTATAATATGGATATAATAAGAGTATTGCAAAGAAAATTTTTCACATCTATATCTTTTCAATATATATTAGGAATCTTTCCTTTTGGGAAAAGATGAACGTTTATGCCATCTATCGGCTATTAAATATACGAAATATAAAGCAACAACTAAACTTAAATTATTATACAAGTTATATTTATAATTATAAAATATTTCCTAATTTACTTTCGCATATACACAAATGTAAATTATAGAATTATATACAAAATATTGAATATATATAGATATAGGATTGGATTAAAAAAATAGAAGACATTAAAGGATAATAAATTATTAAGATATCCTTGATTATTATATAAATATTTTTGTCCGATACATTATTATGAATAATTACATTCATACAAATCATAAATTATATATATTAAAACTAATTTGTATTTAAACTATGTTTTTTGATTTTGTCAAGCTGGTCCTAATATATCCATATTTGCTGTTGTATCTTGAATATTACTATGAGATAACATGTATTCAGACACTGATATATAAACTGCAACTAATATGCCTATAACACTTGCTGCATATATATTTCGTTGTAAAATAATACATGTTGCTACACAAAGACCAAGATATGTTGCATATCGTGCAAAATTTTCATGTCTTTTACGACCAAGAAGATCTGAATCTGAAAAATAAATAGATTAATTAATAGCTTGAATTAATTTAATACAATATCTACGAATAATAAAATATATACTTATGCACAAGTTATCTTTCTTATGATAGTCATCTGCACATTTTATACACATATCTGGACCATCCCCAGTACAACCATTACAAGCTTTATCACATCCTACAAATTTAAAATAACATAAGACATTTATTAAATATTAGTTGTAAATAATAGATATTTTAGCATCTTAATATTTTTCTTAAATTCATGAGTCTACCTAGACATGTAAAACTTCCTTCTTTATTGACACAAAATTGATTTCCAGGACAAGATTCATCACTTTTTAAGCATTCATTAATATCAAAACAACCTCGTTCATCTATCATGTACCATCCGTCAGAACACATCTCACAATCTTTAGGTCCTGGCCCTTTGCAAGAACCATTGCAAGCGGCATGACAAGTAGAACATAGTAATTTATTTTCATCCTTATAAGATTCATAATAGCCCGGTGCACAATCATTACATGTTTCTCCATCGTAGCCTTTGTCACAAAGACATTTACCATTCCCTTTTCTTGTACCTGCTCCTTTACATTTACCATTCTTATTACAGACATTATCTGGAAAGCCTGGACATTGCATACATTGAGGACCATAGTGATCTTTTGGACAACAACGTTCTGTTTGTTCTATGCATAAATAATCAAATATATCTGGATAGGTATTTTGATGTTTAAACCACCATTCCTCTATTTTATTCTCTAATTCTTCTGCTATGGAATGACATTGATCTTTACCACGCTCTACTTCCTCACATAAATGTTCTTGTATTTCTATGAGACGTACTTCGCTTGTCGCATAAGAACCTAACTTATCTTCTTCCCATGCACTATCACCACCTTCAAATTTTCCACGGCTTGTACGTTCTAAACCCTACAAGAAAAAAACTTATAAAGACATTATTTAAAAATACATTCAGTGTTTTATTCAATTTTAATTATATTACTAGACAGACAATTAATTAAAGCAAAACTTAATAATAATTATTTAGTAAAAACAATCCTTACATTTTTAAAACTATTAACAAGTATTTTACAAGCAGCACATGGTGGATATTTTTCACCTTGCAATTCACTTTTATTAGGAGATTTTATACATATAACATAATTAATTTCGCAAAAACAAAAAACAATGAGGAAGATAAATAAAATAAATCTGTTGCGCATTATAAAATAGAAATAATATAATCTATGACTTAAAAAATATATTGTTTAACATAAAAATAACATTTGACATAACAAATTAAATTAGTATGTTAATATAAATTTTATTATTTAAATAATAAACATTTCTTAAACATAAACAAGTACCAATCACATGCGGTATTGAAAAATTTTATTGTATGCATGATACGTCTGCACAGATAAGTTGATTAGTTTGATAAAAGTGTTCATGAAAGATACGGTAGATAGCGTTTCGATCATTACAGCGCTACCTAGTAGATAATTTCGAAAGTTATATCATTTCAAATGAAGGGCGCCAAATCATTAAATGTTTTTTTTTTTTTTTTTTTCCCCCAAAAGAAAAATGATTCTTTATAAAATAATTTTTTTTATCTGTCTTACATTATTTTTTTGAGTTTATAAACCACAAGTAAACTAAGTATAGAATAATATCTTTTAAATGTAGATGTATATATATTTTTTTTCTTTGTACAATATGGGAGGTTCACATTAAAATGCGGCGGACTATTACACATTATACATAAGTCTATATGTTCTTTGTAGACTTCTAACAAGAAGACAAGCGGATTTACAATTTTTATTACACCGGTATACAGTACTGTTTTCTTCTATAATATTATTACGATATGCATAGTATCTGTATTATATTCCCTACTTCTATAGTACGAAATACTAATAAATGCTAAATGTAGTATTAGTGATTTATTTAATACTACCAACGATATATCTTGTTTTCTTTTTCTTCATTAATAATGAGATGTGTATTTCTTTATGACTATAGTTCAATTAACTGTTATTTCTACGGACAATTCGTGTGAGAAACTATTGATTCATAGCTTCGATCGAATTAATATATCAATATACATTTACGAAATTAGGAATCAAATGGAACTATAGAGTTATTGCAACTACAGTCTAATAAATCAGACACTAATTTAATATTACCCATTATATATACTATTTCTCATTAATAAATATATACTTAATATATATATATATAGACTTGCTGAAATAAATCCCAGAGTTATTAACTTTACATGATTTTTTGTGATGATTTTGATATATAAATATTAATTTATTACAAATAATAGATTGCCTCATTAATTTCAAATTTTATTGTTATCTAAAATGCTTTTGTGAAAATCTGCCATATCATATGGGACAAAAAATATATGGCAAAATATTATACTTCTAATTAATGGCTTTACTAAGATTAGAATTGACTTAGATTTTTCGTAACGTTGTTCACTGCAAAAGTTTAAATATGTTTTAAATATTGGTCGACAATACAATTTACAATACTTTATGATATTCTTTGTTTCTAACAATATTATATGTAACGCAGTCTTGTTTAGTTTAATATTATATAAAAATTTACTGGAACGTTAATTGTATATGTATATGTGTTAACATAAATTAACATTTCTAAATATAAACTTAGGTTTATGTACTGACAATGCATATACATATAATCGAACATTGCATATAAAGCTCTCATAAAATGCATGGTCATCCATATATCATGTTGTGAAAATTGCATGTACAACATATTAATAATATTACAATAACCATAGATGTTATTACCATACTATTACAAGTATTTATAAGATACTTATATGTACATATACGTACATGTATATAATGCAAATAACGTAATGACAATACCTGCCCGAGCTGCCTCCATTGTGTTAAAGACTTATAAAATCTGTAATATTGGTATTTTAACTTAAAATGTATTTGGTTCATAGAAAATATTTCTGATTAAAGAGATATTCCTTTTTCATAATAAAAGATTTTGTCTTGGATTACATAAAAATGAAAAAAGGGATTTTCACTTATTACAACCCATTAATCGATGTAAAACATCAGAAATTGTTTTTTTATCATTTCATACTTTGGAATTATAATTTATATAAATTTTGTTTTACCGCGATTGTAGAGTTTTGATATTATTAATGTATTTATATTTACAGAAATGAACATTTTATACGAGTTTATCAAAATTTGTTTGATACTTGCTCTTACTCCTGTTTCAGTTGACTGTACTTTGGACATATTCTACTAATTACAGAAATATAAATCGCTTATATTACGAAAAATATTATTAAACAAAACCTTAAAATATAATAAGCTATATTCTTGTATGAGTATATATCAACCTACTAAATTTATAAAAATGTTAATATAAACATATAATTTATGGTACAAATATAAATTATTTTTATTTGTAAGAAGATCAGCTCGTGACAATAAATGTCAAAAGCAAATACTTAATTATAATTTTGTAAATAGTAATCAAATAATGGAAAAGTTAAAATTTATAAATTAGTATATTATAATTTTAGCCAAATTATTCAGTTATATATAAAAGAAGACCCACAAATATCTTAGGCTTGGAAGATACCTCATTAGTATAACTTATATGTGTAAAAAAAAAGCTGCACTATTGATAAGTAACAATAAATAAAAAACATAAATTAATGATACTTATTGATATATTTTCTACTTAGCAAAATTTTATGTATTTCTTAAAAATGGTAACATAATGTAAATATTTTACTTGTAAAGAATAAGATACATAACAACTAAAATAAAAAAAAACACTAGCTTATTTACTCAAAGTAATTTTAGAATTAATTAGCAGTATTTTTCAATATTTCATCTATTATTTTTGTGCTTTACTATAAATTATATCGAAATAACTTATGTTAATTGTGAAATTAATATGTATATACTTACATAAATAATATAAAACAATATTAATAATTTTACTAGATGTAATATTCATTGGAACATTTCATAAGATAATTATTGTAATTATCAAAAAGTAAATTTACTTTTATACATCCGGAATTAACTTGGCAAAGTAATTTGTGTAAAACAAATAATTTTCTAAAACAATTATAAATTTAGAATATATAAAGGATATATAATACTGTAGAGAAAAACTTAAAATAACAATGGTCCCAAAATTGTATTAATTACTATAATTCCCATGATAATTCCAAATGGTAACTATTTACTAAAAGAACTATGTTCAGTCAACTGATAGATACTTTTGTAATTTCAGCAATGTTTGCACGACATGTTCCATATATTTTACACCAAACCGTCTGTAACTCCAATATATTCTGATCTAACATGCAGGTAACATGTATAAAAACTGTTCATTTTCATATACACGTATACAACTCTTCGCATGGGTATCAAACTGTGAGAACAAAAAAGAAAAGAATCACCTAGAGTACAACATCGGGCAGGGTGCAATGCCACTAGGCTAGTTGCGTACCACTTCGTCCACCATGATGTCCCATGCCAGTCATTGAACTACCTCCTCCCATCTCATTGCGAACTATTTTTCTTTCCTTATAATAAATTTCTTCACTTTCTTTGTCGCATAAAAGTAATACTGCTCCACCAAATAAAAATATAGCTGCACCCCATCCAACACCATACGCCCATCCAAATTCCCACATTGTTCTATTTCCTATAATAAAATAAGTACTTTAATAATCTTGAAATAAACAATAGTTATAGAACAAATATAATGTGTAAACAATAGTAAAAAACTTACCAAGATTAAGTTCTGTGGCAAAACACACAGGATAAATTACCAATGCAGTTAAAAGACATACGACTAAAATAAACAATAATAATAATAAATTACAAAAATATAATTTATAGTGTGTGTATATGGTCCAATTTAGTATACTTACGTGCAATACCCATACATAAAACAGCAAATCTGTAGAATTTGTGTTTTTCTCTATGATCTTGTGATCTTAATCCAAGACCCGTTAAAACTGTTGCCATAATATCTGATAAGAGGCATATCACACACAAAGTAGCAGCAGCTTTTATATATGCTACAAAAATAAAAGTGAACTAATGTTTTCATTGTTTCTAAGAGTACAACATAGAAAGATTTTTTATTCCCTTACCAACATCTCTAGCTTGATAACATCCTTGTGGATCTGGCATATTAAATGGCAGTGGAGTTGGTGCACCTTCTTCGATGCAATGTACAAAAAGTCCTTGCCTCCATCCTAAGGCCATTAACCAATCCGTCGAAGCAAGTCCCATTATCATTAAAAGTATTACTATGACCCCGCATATAAATGCTATTACCTACAAATAAAATTAATCATTTATTATATTCGTAAATAATGTAGATTATTTGCATAAAATAAATAATAATATAACAATATTTTATATAAGAAACTAGACACTTGAAAAAAAAATTATTCGGTACCAATTATGCTCTATTCATTTACATCATAAATATATCATTAATTAAAATCTTGTATGTATTTTTTTAAAAGTATCAATTAATAACAATGTATACCTGTGCAATCTCATTATCACTTATGTGTTCTTCCGCGACTGTATACATGATCATTTTATATTAGGGTATTGTATCTGAGATAGTCGCGTCTTGTTGTAAAAAAAACGATTGTTGAACTATCCTTGAGGAATATAATGAAAACTAACGTTCATGAACACCTTTCACCTCTTAACAAACAATATTGTTTAAGGAACATCGTATACTCTTCCGTGATTTATGGTCAAACGAGAAAGACGAAAGTGCATTTAGCAAGTTCGCGTCAATGAACAGATGAATCGATGGATGGATACAAGACGATGAATACACGAGAGTGGGGACGCACTTTCGTAAAAGGTAGTTGAACGTTCGGCAATAAAACTTTTACGAATGAACGTAAGGAATTTGTTTATTATCAATACGTCACTAAAATATCGTAGATCGTTTAGAGAATTCATACGACTACTAATCACTTAAGAAGCAAAGGTGAACCGGGAAGAAATCGTCGTGGAACTCGTAAAGAGAAGCTTCCTACGAAAGAGGCTGCGCCCAGCTGCGCCCATTAAATGCCTGGCGCAGCGTCCGGGCCGATGCTGCGCGATCCTCCTCTTTCTCCCCTTCCTCCTCCTTACCCTACGCAACTCCCAACCCCATTACCACCTGGCCCCAATCCTCTACTTTCCCAGTTTCTTTTTCTTCCTGTTTTCTACGTTTCTTTTCTTTGTTACCGGATCTCACCTCCATCTTATCATTTCTTTTTGTTTTTTTTTCTTTTTCTTTTTTACTTCTACTCCTACCACTCTTCCATTTCTCTCACTATTATTTATTGTAATCTAACAATGTTTATTTTTCGTTTGATGCTAATTTTGTTCTCATGAATAGAAATAACTATATATATATATACATATATATATACATATATATATACATATATATATATATATATATGTTTTCTTTACATGGAAACAGTAATACTACTGTATATATATATTGCAATATTTACTTTTATTCAATGTGCATACTTAACCTCGTATTACTGACTTTATATACAAAACTTCTATTTTACTTAAATGTAAAATAATTTGTTTTTTGTTATATTCTCTTTTTATGCATCATAAGGGGGGACAATTATATTTTCATCATTAGATTTAAATTTCAATACTTTTATAAAAGAGAATAGCATAGTAAACAAATTAACTATTTTATGTCAATTATTAATAAATCTTTTCATAATTAATATTAACTTACCTTTAAAGGTCTTGTGACAGTAACTGTTTCAATTGTTGTTGTTTGTGCCATAGTTTTCTAAGATTATAAACTGTAATAAATAAAAATCAATGTGTCATAAACAAAATATATAAACTCATACAACTGAAAAAAAAAAGAACAATTATAATCGTTTATCTCAGAAATAATGAAATAATAAATATAATAAAATAAAAAAGAAGTATTGAAAATTGGTGTATGGATGTAGTATCGTACTAAATTTATTTTTAACTATTAATGAGAACACAATGATGAGATAACTTTACTTGTATAGATATTATCGTATAATTGCATATTTAAAATCAAATATAAATAAATATTAAACTGAAATGATTAGTTATAACTATAATACTTTACATAATGATGTGGATAAAAAGGATGGAAGTGAAATAGGTAATAGCATTATAATTTATATTACCTTTGTCTTTATATAAAATATATACAACCTATAATTTTATTATATATATATATATATTAAATGTAAGATAATATAAAATTCTCCATCATACTACATAATCAAAATGGACTGATAAGGGCTTAAGCAAAATATAGATAACTATTTCATTGTATAAAAGTATCTATCCATGAAATATGATTTTTACATTTACATAGACATTTTATCACATTGTTATAATTGATATTATTTCTTTCATTATACGTAGATTTATCTTCTGAAAATAATAATTGTTCACTTACGATATTTTACAAATCCATTTGATCATTGTTGAATGTCGCGTTGTCGCTTTTGTACTATTATTATCTATAATTTAATTTTAATATTTACACAATTCCTCATCGTATTTAGTTAATATAATTGCACAAATAGAAAATAATTATATTGGAAGAAGAATTAAAATAGTCAAATCTTAAAACTGTCCATCCAGAATCATACTACATTAAATTAATGTGCAGATCTCATTGTTGACCGATTCTTCGCACTGATTCATGTATGTATGTGTCATCATCTAAGGAAAGGGAACACCCATGTCAAGTGTGTTTGTAGAGACCTCTGGTCGACATACTTTTAGAAATGAGATAAGATTCAACATGGCGTTTGTTATTAAATTGAGAAATAAATATAAGCAGAAAAAAAGAATTCTTATATTTTAATTTCAAAAGTTTTATCTTATTATCCAAAAGATACGATTTAATTATTACAATCTCTACTTTTGAAAACGAGAATTTAAAATCTAAATTTATTATATATCTAATAAATGCGTATATATATATATTTATCTATATACGTACATATTGTTGTATATTTTATAAATATTATTCACTTGTTTATATCAGTTATCAACCCTAATAGATATCTTTAGTTTTGTGGATGTTTGTTTCTATTTTTATTTTCACTTCCGTTTCATCCTCTCTTTTTACATTATTAGTATCATTATTAGACGCAGATGGTAGTGCCACTGTTGGTAGGAATTATTATTAAGAGTTTCATTTTAAGCACATGTTCAGCTCAATTCAGTTTAGATGATTAACTCTTTCGAAGTAAATATAATAATTTTACAAAAAAAAAAATTAATATACTTAATTATATTTAAAAGATATATTATGAATTAACAATACACATTAGAAAGTTCTACGTATGAAATAAAATATATTTATTACATACATAAAGGTAAATAACACATTATGTTATGTTATGTAGTACATAAAATTAAATCATTCTATAAAGTCATTTTATATTTGGAAAATACTTATTCCAGATGAAAGGACATGGAAGTGATACTAAAAATAAAAGTGTTTCTAAATGGTATGAGGAATTTCCTAAAGCAGAAGTACCTTATAAGCACGCAAAATCAGATTTTGAAGTACTAAATTTAAAAGAGGAAGGAAAGAAGTATCTCAATGCAGATACTTCAGCTTTCCAATTAAAACAATCACACTCTAGAAATTCAGAAGTTATGTGGTTAAAAACAGCATTAACACGTGGTACAACTTCTGATAAAGTTGCAGCCGCAGTTGTTTTGATACAAGATAATCCAAAATATAATCTTGTCCAACTAACATCTCTTATTTCGCAAGTAAAAGCTGCTAAGCACAGCCAATGCAACATGATTATTACTGCTTTAAGAGATCTTTTTTTATCCGATTTACTTCATCCTAAATATAAACTCTTAAAATTTGAAGAACAAGATTTAGATAAAATAGAAAACTTGGAGATATCAGATCAAATAAATAAGATAGATGGATCTAGAAAAAAATTATTGGCACATTGGTGTTTTGAAGATCAATTGCGTGAACAATATGAAAATTTTGTTTTATCGCTTGCTAATATTGCCTCAGACACAGTGGAAACAAATCGTGAGAGAGCAATATCTGTGATGACAGATTTGTTAATTGGAAATCCTGAACAAGAACATAAATTATTAGAATTAATTGTAAATAAAATAGGTGATCCACACTGCAAAGTAGGTTCAAAAGCTGTATTCTGTTTACAAAAATTGTTATATGAACATTCTAATATGAAATTTGTCATATTAAAAGAAGTTGAAAAGCTATTATTCAGAAAGAATGTGGGACAACGTGCACAATATTATGCAATTTGTCTCCTAACACAATTTGTATTGAGAAAAGCAGATGATGAAATTGCTACTTCTCTTATAGAAGTATATTTTGCATTCTTTAAAGCATGTTTGAAAAAAGGAGAACCAGACAGCAGAATGATGGTAGCAATCTTAACAGGAGTTAGCAGAGCATATCATTTTGCAAAAATAGATTCAGATTTATTACGTGATCATATTGACTCTGTATATAAAGTTATACATATTGGATCTTTTAATGTTTCATTAAATGCACTTAATCTTTTATATCATGTAAGTATTTTTTTAATCTCATTGTGTTTTCTCAATCAATATCTTATTAAAATGATTCGTTAAAAAATATAAATTTTTATTGATATTCTCTCTTATATATAGGTTGAGGGAACAAGTAAAGATCAATCGAACAGGTTTTATTCAGCTTTCTATAGAAAATTATTAGATCCACAAATAGGTATAGCAAATAAACGTGCAGTTTTCTTAAATCTATTATATCGTGTCCTTCAAAATGATCAGAGTTTGTTACGCTTGTATGCTTTTATAAAACGGATATTACAAATTACATTGTACTTTCCTGCAAATATGGCTTGTGCTACTTTATATGTAATATCCAAAGTTCTACAATCGCGTAAGGATTTAAAGCACTTTTTGTTACATTCCCAAAATTCCATTAAAATAGAAAATAATTTCTCTAATGCAAAAGAGAATGATTCATCAAAAAATAAAGAAATTATTAATATTGATGAAAATGAGCCTATGGTTTCACCAGAAATAGATTCAAATATTATGATGAATGTTACCATTAATACTACAGTAAATTTACCAAAACAGGATATTGATGTGAAACAGGATATTGATGCAGACATTAAAGATTTTACACAAAACCAATATAATCCATTTTGTCGTAATCCTTTATATGCCAATGCAATGAAAAGCTTACACGCTGAACTTGTGTCATTGTCTAAACATTTCCATCCAAGTGTATCTTTATTTGCAAATTCAATTATTCAAGGTAATTTTTCATTTATATATTGCTGTTAATAATAAATTAATTTTTGCTTAATAAAATATTTTATTTTTTAGAGAAAACTATTAATTATACTGGAGATCCTTTGGAAGATTTGACATTAATACGATTTTTAGACAGATATGTCTTTAAAAATCCTAAAAAATTAGAAAATAAGAAGATACAAAAAAAGAATGATCCATTGGCACAGCGTAGTGGTTATCTACCAAAAGGTATACGCTCTCTTCCTGTTGATAGTATAGCATATCTTAATGAGGCAGAAGAGCGTATCCCAGTAGATGAATTATTCCTTTATCGTTATCTAAAAAGGAAAAACGAATCTACAAATGTGTATAATGAAAAAGACTCTGACAATGAAAGTGTTAATAGTGAAGAATTCAATGAAATGTTAGATAAATTTAGTACCAATGAAACTTTGGATGATTTGGATATTGCTGCAGCTATTGGAACAATAAAAAATAAAAAAGGTAATGAAGTAAAATTTATATACAATAGAATTTATTTTTATTTGCTGAAATTTAAACATTCTTTATAGATGATGAAATAGATGATCTTGAAAATAGCGATCATATGGAAGATGAAGAAAATGATGTTAATAGCGGTACTGAATCTGAAGATATTGATGAAGAAAGTGATAATAGTTTGGATGATATAGATGATTATGATATAGCAGATATAGAAGATGAAGATCTAAGCGACATATATTTTAGTGAAGGTAGTGACAATAATGATGATGATCTAAGTGGAGTTACGTTAAATATAAAAAATAAACACATCAAGGGTAATGATCCAATTAGACAGCATAAGATAAAAAAGAATAATAAAAAGAATCTAAATGATATATTTGTATCCGCCGAAAAATTTTCACAAATGTTGGAAGAACAAAGTCGAACGAAAAATAAACATGGTAGTACAAATGCATTTAATACAATGGATGGTGCTACTTCTAAACAAATAGATTGGGAAACAAAAAGGAATCAAAAACTAACTAGATCTTTTGACAGAAAAAAACGGAAACACGTCAAAATATTGAACAATAAAAACAATAAAAAGATTAAACGATAATAACAATCATTGTATTCATTTTTGTATATTTTGTAAGTTTTTAAATTTTACCAAGTTGTTTTATCAGAACAAGACATCTTATTTTCGTAAAGTATTGGTATGATTAAATAGATGTGTGCTCGTAAATGATAAAGTATATATTCAATATTTTTTAAAATAAGATCTCGTTGTATTATTATTACTTATAATTGTAATCGTTTGAACATAAAACATGTTTTATTTCTTTACATAATATTACAAGAAAATAAAAAATTTCGTAAAAAAAGAAATAACAGTGACAATTAAGCTTTCTTTTTTTGCTTTAACATAACAATGTTAATTTTATGTATAATGAAGTAAAATAGTACGCTTTATTAATGCACTGTAAATATTTTTCTTTTTTTGGTAAAATAAGTAAAATCATTCTTAATTTTAGACTGCCATATATACTATTACATTTTTGATTCAATAATATAACTGTAATATGTTGCAAAGTCATGATAGATGTGCAAGTATTTTTAATTTAATCACTTAACATACTATTAGTAAAAAATTGTTTGACTTTGTTATTCTCACAGTGCAACATTAATATATTTCAAAGATAATTTACAAAAAACCACGCATTATAATTTGTCGTTATATGCGACAAATTCTAAAGCGTGCTGTGTACATGTACTGTAATACTAAATGCTACTCTTGGTCAGGTTTCGCTGAACTTTCTTCATCGTGAGCTGGACTGTGCCATGTTAGGCGTTCTTCATAAAATTTAATTACTATTTGTGGGCATTTTTCGTTGGCAACACGAGCAGGTACTAAATCGGCATCGTCTGTGCCTTTCCATTTCATTAAAAACATGAGTTCCCCGCTTGAATCTGTTGCTCCGATAATACGTTCAGGGTCTAAGTTTCTGTCAAATCCTACAATAAAAGCTTCAATATAATTTTAACCTCTTAAAATTTACTATTGATAAAGTTAGTTTTGTTTGATATATATGAAACTTTCAATTGTTGAAATTTACCTTCTGGTTTCTTTTCTTCAGTTGCTTTTTTCTTCGCTTGTGTTGGCGTAGGAGTGCTCGAACTCTTTCTCTTTTTTTGTTCCTTTTCTTCGTGTCTTTTACCAGAAGCTGCTGCTTCTTTCTTTTTTCGCTGTTCCTCAAATTGTGCTATTAAATCGGGACAATCGAGGTTTTCTTCAGGTTCCCATGTGTTTTCATCATTGGAATACCCCTTCCATTTAAGAAAATATTCTACCTGTAAATTTACAATATAAAAGTTTTTAATCAATAGAATCATATATTGTTCTTACATAAAATACAGGCTATGAATGACATACTACGTACCTTTCCTTTTACAACTCTTCTATCAAGAACCTTTTCAACACTGAATTCTTCTTCTGCTTCTCCTTCTGTAGCTGACGATTCCTTTGATTTGCTCATTGTATTTTATGTGAAATAACTAAAAGATGTAAAGTAATATAATATAAAAAATGATACTGAATTTAAATTATAATATATCATACAAATAAACTATATTTGATTTTACACTCTATTTATTTTTTCATATAAGGTTGTCACTTTTATAGTTGTATTAGAAACAAAACACTTTATAGATAAGTCTTAATTAAAATATGAATATAGTTAGGTTAGTTGTATCAGCCAAATATATGATCACTATTTTATTAAAAAAATATTTCTATATTTTAATATAATTATATAAAAAATAAAAAGTTATATTTGAAATTTTAGCAATTTTTAAAAATAAGAGGTAAAAAATGCTTATGAAATATAAATAATATATTTGTCTTTGTTATTTGTTATGATAAAAACACAAAAATCAAATTCTTATAAATTTGATAATAGTAAAATCTACTGTAAAACGATTCAAACGATTCTAAATTAGTGCATATTTTGAAGAAGCTAGCAAGAAGTTATAAGTTAGAAAAGCAAAGAAAATGGCGGTAAAGTACATCGAATGCTATATAAAAGTAATTCGTTTATACTGAACTTTAATATAACTACTTTGAAATTCTATATTGAAAATATAGTATATATCATAAATAGTGTATGGCATATGTTAATTACTTACTTCTTATTATATATTTACAAAAATCTCACTGTATATAAATTCGTAAACTGACGCGGTATATTTCGAGCTTCTGGCGTCCACTCTGTCCGGTTGCTGCTTCAATAATGCCGGACGGAGGGAATTTCAGCGATTGCGCAGTTCTCTTCCGTTACTGCAGCTTGTTTCGACGTCGATGTATAGAAAGAAGAGGGAAAATTTGCCGCTCATATAGTTGTCTAGTTTACTTATTAACCAAATTAATCGAAGTTAAAAAGATTAATCTAAATTTTCATTTATTATATAAATAATTTATTCAAAAAAAATTATTTTAGATTTTATAAATTAACATAGTATTATATTTATTTGTTATTATTTTAGATGGCGTTAGAAGACTACGTCACATAGTGTGAAAAAAAAACATCACCATTAGGAATTTTTTATTCGTTGAGAATCATGCTTATTAATTCACATTGATAAGAATTAAATAAAAATATATTTAGACAATAAAAAGAAACAATTTTTTATTGATTATATATAATCGTAATAAATTTTATTTATTCGTGAATATTTAATATTGCTATCTCAGACTACGTATAACTAAGCAGCCAATCAGAGAAAGTTTTATATGAAACGTAAAAATTAGTTTAAATTTCAAATCATTAAACTATCTTTTTTAAAACTTTATTATTATTAATTGTAATATTATTTGGAAATATATTTGTGTTTAGATTAATAAACATATGTTGTTGTACAGGTATAGGGTATTATTTAATTAAGAATTATTTATTTTTTAAAGATATAATTAAATGATTTGGTTAAATTTGTCGTAACATTGATTACCTCCATTTTTGTAATTCGTGTTGCTTCAAAAATTAGTAGATATTTATTTGTTTCTTGTTACCAAGACAATTTATTTACGAATGTTGTCTTAACGATAGTAAGCTACTAAAAAGCTTTATAATTCAAGAACATTGAGTTTGCCATGAAAGAATATTTGAATATTTGTCTTCTTTTCAAGGAAAAGGTAATCTACTCCAATTCTTACTTGACAATTTCATTTGCCTTTTATTGTTCACTATAATTAGAAATAAATTAACAGAATTTTTCCAAAAAATATATTTCAGTGACTTTTATTAAAATTATTTATTATTATTGGAAATCCAATTAACTTTTAAATTAAACAATGTTTTTATCTTTTAATATCCTTTGTACATTGTTTTATTATTAATAATAATTTGTTGTAATTACAATTTTAATTACTATCTCAAAACTTTATAAAATCAATTTGTGAACAATTATAATTATAGGAGAAATATATTTTTATTAATAAATATTATATTATTATATTTTTATATATATTATAGTAACACAAAAATGCTAAAGTCAGAATCTATGAGTACTGTAAGTGATAGGGAAGATGATATTGATGATTTAGATGGTTCCATTGTCTGGTCCCAAGAGGATCCTCTTTCACCTAATGAAATATTAGAAATGGAACCGGGAAGTGCATTAATGAGAAATGATGTATTTTCTCTTTGTCGATTATGTGCAGGAGAAACTCCAAACCCTATATATATATATTCTGAATTGGGAGAGTCGATGAAATTAGCTCATAAAATGAACACTTGTTTGAGTATAAAGGTATTATTAAATAATATGATTTTAATAATTTCTTTACATTTTTCTTATATCTCATAGTAATCTGATAACTTATAATAATATATTACAGGTAAGGAAAACAGATCCTTTACCTAAACAACTTTGCATTGGATGTGTTGAGAAAATAAATTGGTGCGATGAATTTGATATTCAATGTATCAAAGCAGAAGAAACTTTATTAGAGATTCTTAAAGAGAAGCAATCCTTTAATATTACAGAATCAGCAACAGATAATGTTTTAAATAATACTAAATCTTGTCCTCTCTGCATAGAAGGACATATGAATACTTGTCAAGATGCAATACAGAATCCAAAAGAAGTCGAATTATATGATAGCGATATTGTCTTGGAAAGTAGTGATGAGGAGAAGATATTTCATAATTTCAAGGCTGATTATGAAGCAGGAAATCGATTAATTATGTTACAATGTTTAGGAAGTAAGCAGAAATATTTGAAGTGTGGCGCATGTATGAATCTGTACCATACAAAGGAAACTTTGGATGGCCATAAATGTAAGCCAAATATACAAAACACTTCCAAGCCATATAAATGCTTTTTATGTAATGCTACATTTACTTTCGAGGAACGTTTAAATTTTCACATGCAATTTCATAAAGGTGCAAAAGCACTGTACTGCGAAATTTGCAAAATTACTTTTGGCAAAGAATTAAAATTATATTATCATTATAAGCGATATCATTGCAAGGATATGACTGTTTCTTGTTTGCAATGTGGAAAATTATTTAGTAACCAAGAGGAACTTAGGATGCATGTGTGCGTTGATGGTAAGAATAGACCACATGTGTGCGAAGTATGTAATAAGGGATTTTCAGATGGATATACTTTAAAACGACATGTAGTAACGCATCTACCAGAGAAACCATATAGATGTTCTCAGTGTTCTAAAAGTTTTACGCAAAAATCGAGATTAAATAAACATACAGCTGCACATGGTATAATTATTGAAAATAATCAAACTATATGGAAGTGTGTTCGCTGTGGAGCAACTTTCAATTGTTGCGATGATGCAGATAATCATTATAAAATACACGAGGATAAAGTAATATTAATAGAAGAATTATTAATATCAAAGATATATCATTGTGAATTTTGTAATATGCATTTCACTGATATTGAAAATTTAAAGAATCATCAGAATCAACATGTTGTAGAAAGGCCTTATAGCTGCAATATATGCAAGACAATTTACAAATCATTCGCAGAAGTTGTTTTACATTGGAAAGAGCATCCACGTATGTTCAAAGTACTAACTGTATTCTTATGTGATATATGTAATAAAGATATGAAAGAATTATCTCTTCTTTACAAACATAAACAAAAGAGACATCAACATGCACCGCGTATTTCTGAAACTGGTAATATGAAATATATATGTGAACTTTGTGGATCTATATTTGATCAAAAGGAAAATATACAAAACCATGGACGTGATCAATGCTCGAAATTCCCGTGTGATATATGTGGTAGTTTATTACCTACTGCAAATTCTCTTAATGCCCATAAAAGAAGGCACAGCGGTTTAAGACCGTACGTGTGTAACATTTGTGGTAAGAGTTATACTCAATCTAGTCACATGTGGACACATAAAAGATTTCACATGGGAGTAAAACCTTACGCATGTGAATATTGTGATCAGAGATTTACCATAAAGCCTGACCTAGCAGATCATACAAGGAAAAAACATACAAGAGAAAGACCTTTCAAATGCGACGTTTGCAATAAAGCTTTTCTAACTGGATCTGTATTTTATCAACATAGATTGATACACAGAGGTGATCGTCGATATAAATGTCATTATTGTGAAAAAGCGTTTACAAGAACTGAAGCTTTAAACAATCACATAAAAATTCACACTGGGGAAAAACCGCATGCTTGCGATGTATGCGGCCGATGTTTTCGACAAAAGGGCGACATGAGAAAACATCGACGTACTCAACATAATGCCAAACAAGAAGGACAATGAAATGTAAATGTTTTAAATTTATAACAAATTATTTCATCGATTATAGTTTGTGATATTTTCAATAAACAGTGAGATCTATATTTATAAAATAAACTATTTGATTTTTTCATATCGTTTAGATTAACATTTAATATTTTTATTCTTAATAACATTGACATATATTTCGAACTAATTTCTATGAAATAATAATAAATTTTAACTAAATTTATTATAAAAATAATATTGGTACGATATCTAATAAACTTTGTAAAACGCGCGTGTCACAAATGGCAGGTGCGCAGATAGCAATTGCGTCGCAATAGTGCGGAGAACAGGTGATATTCCTAATGTCTCATGACTTTATCACTGTCACGTATTTAATCGTCATACGGACGATCATCGATATTTAGTATTTGGCTGTGACAGTATCAATTGTGTAAAAAAATAGGCGATTTCCTTAAATTATTAAAAAATGAATAGTCTAATTATAAGATAAAATTATAAAAAAGTGCTCCTAATTTTTTGGAGCGGATACGAGATTTACTTGTGTAAGTATGTACATCTGTCAAGGATTTTTCTTTATAGACAGTACACATATAAATAAAAGCCAATTAGTTGTTTTACTACTGATAATCGAGGTCTTTCTTCTATTACATTATAACAAAATATTTTCCAATAGAATACAAACGATGTGTAACCTATAAATACAGTGTTCAATATATCTACCATGTTGAAATATTGTAAGGAAAACATTCAATATTTTTCAGAAATGTACTATATTATTTAAGTATGTCCATGTAGGAAATATGTACATTAAAAGAGTCATTTTTTAAATCTAAAATTAACATTGTAATATATTATATGGGAACACAATTTCAATCCAAAAGTAATAATTCTATAGTATGTCATATGTATAGGATATAAAAGATTAATGACACTTGAGCATTATTAATTTAATTATTTTTAATTTAAAGCAGGTTTGAAAGATGGCTTTCCCACCTTTAGTCAGTTCTACACCTCCACCTTTGGATAATTTTGGAGATTCGGATGAAGATGAATTTGGAGATTTTACAGCTGGTGGAATCGATGGTATGATTACATTATAATGTCAACTCTTTATGCAATTCATAGTTATTTTAATTGCTTATTTTCATTAAAAATTTGTACATAAAATTCCTATATTATGATAATTTTTATTGTTTTACAGGCTTATCCATTACATCAGATTCACCACATAAAATTATCACTCCTATTCAAACACCAATAATGTCTGAAAATGTTTCACCAAAAGTAAATGGAGTTAATTACTCTCCATCATCTAATATATGCTCTAAAAATGATAGCATCCTTAAATGTAATATTCCAGATGATGTTTTAATTGTTGAGAAAGCAGAAGATATTGTGAGCAACATAGAATTACATGATAATTCAGATAATAGTAGTATTAAAAAAAATAATTTTGATGATGATAGTATCATTCAACACGATAACTTAAATCTATGTAGTGAGAATGATTTAAAAGCTACAGAAAACAATAATGATACTTACGATCTTTGTACTCAGGTCATCTTAGATAAAGTAAATTTTATTAATAAGAGTGTAGTCAGTAGCAATAATAGTAGCTTAGCAAATAGTGTGAAGACTGTGAGCGAGCATGAAGGTTCATTAAATAATTTGGAAGTCAATGATGATGTAGAACCTTTAAGCCTAGATTTAGATGACCCCACAAATACATCAGATGGATTACAACATCTGGACAATGATTTTTATAATTATGAACAATTTAAAGATTCTGCAGACTGGAGTAGTTTTGATAATAATAAAATATTGCATAAAGAATTGTCAGTTTCACAAGCAAATTGTCTTGATCTACAGTATGAAATTGTAAGCAATTCATATAACGATACAATTGTTAATACAGTCAATGATACTCACTTAGAATGCAAGTCGATGGATGAAAGAATTAAGAAGAATGAAAGTAATAAAAGCATTGACATTACCATTGAGAAGTGTGATTCTGTGCAAAATAGTAAAACATTATCCGATTCTCTTCCCTTTCAAGACAAGGATGTAAAAAATGTTGACATTCTTCCTCAATCAGACTGTGATTTAACTGTTGAGGAGGATCTTAAAGAAATTGAAGATACATTTGATAAAAGTGAAACATTAAGTAATGATATTGTATATACCTCTTTCAGTTCTGGTTTGGGTATAGATAAAACTGTAAGGGACAAATCAAATATAGGTTGTAAATTTGTAAATAACGATATTGGTACCTTGCCTAATATATCATGGAGAGAAAATACAAATCTTGAATCAAATGCATTTGATACACTGGATATAGTAGAGAATGTTACAAGTGGAATAGTTAATAATAAAAGTATGATTGCAATCAATGAAAATACGTTTGATGTGAATACAAATTTAAATAATGAAGAAACTTTCATAGAGTCTGCTTTAATAGATAATAATTCGTTCGATAAAGAAGATCCTAATTTTACAGATTTCAAATCTGCCCAAGATTTTGATAGAGTGTCAATATCTGAGTGCAGTTTAAATGTCATATCTGATAATTTATCTAACACAGTACAAATTGAGGATGACTTATCCAAGTTATCAAATGAAACGGATTTTAGACAAAATCTCTCATCTTTTGTAAACGTATCACTGCCAACCAATAAAACATTTTCTAATCATGTACAGGCAGAAAATAGTGATGTAAAAATTAATTCAGATTTGGAATGTGCCACGTATAATGATAGAACCTGTATAGAAAATTTCGAAAATGATGCTTTTTGCGATTATCAAGAAATGCAGCAAGAAAACGCAATGCCAATACACAAAAAGAGTGATACTTTTCCAATACTTTGTAACACAGAAAATGCAGACGATGATTTTGGTGATTTTACGAATTTTTCAAGCATGGCAGATGAATGGTCATCTAATGTAGTTGATCCCAAAGTACCTGAAACTGATGATGACTTTGGAGAATTTAATAATTTTGAATCATCAAACAGTACAGTAGAAACACAACAATTTAGTTTGAGAGAATCTATGTGTCGGATAGAAAATAAGAATGTGAGTTTAGAATATATCAACGAAACATTTATTAGCTTAGTCTACAATCATTCAGAGTATTAGCATTTTTACCGCATGGTTGTTTCTTTTTTGCATGTTATTAATCTATATTTTTATCATTTTGTAATCATGTGATTATTTCCAGGCTGCAAACAAGATAGAAGATATAGTAACAAATATGTTTTGCGTGATGCCTACGCTTCCTGAAACTGATTTAAAACCTTTAATTACGAAAACAGATAAAATCTGGCAGTGCTTGAAAAATGTAGAAGAAACTAATGCTTTAACTTATCAATGGTCTAATAGTACTAGTAACAATGTGCTTTTAAACGCACTTGGCATTGATTCGCGTAATATTGTAAGTATACTTTTTTTCTTTTCATATAAAGTATATAACTTTTAATAAATGATAAATCTTTTCTTATTTGCAGTTATTTGGACCAAGATGGAATACTAGCGTCCCAAGATTTGCAGCTAATCTTGGTTTTACACCTTTGGAACCTATAAAAGCTTCTGTTGATTCTCCACCATCTACCACAAATAAGGCACAAGGAGTGTCTACTTCGGATGTAAGTGTATAATAATTTACAGATAATTTAAATGAACAGAATTTATTTAAAGCATAATTAATGTTTGAATAATTATACCAGGAAGTACCTGCTGCCCAATTTGATTGGAATAGTTCAGGGCTTGTTAATCCTTTAGATGCTAGTAAGTATAAATTGTTTCAAAGAAAATTACTACAATGCATAGAGAAAAATAATCTATATGTAAAAATGCGGAGAATATGAAACGAAGATTGCTTTGGCTTTTTAAATAAAACTATTTTTCTAAGCTATGCACGCATATATAAATGTATATAATACATCCTCTTAAATATCACAAACAATAATAATACAGGTGGTGGGTTATCAGCTCTTCTACCATTGGATTTATTGTGTCCGTTTGACCCTCTACTAACACCCCACTGTTCCACATATTCCGAATCCTACCATCAAACAGCTGCTTACACACGGGACTCCATATATTATTGTAAGTGGTAGTGCTAGCATTCCTTTACCCTTGCACTCTATAACTTTTACAAATGTATTTTCTATATATGCTGTCCATAAAAAAGTTTGAATATACTTTATATAGATGATACTGTATTTATTTATCATTCATATTAATATTCATAAGAAATATTTACTTTTATTATTGAACAGATTCGTCAGATCCGACGGTTATCTCCGAGAACAGCAATTTACAATCCATGAAAATATCAAATAAAAGTACTTTGAATCCTTTCAATAGTGGATTGAATGATAGCTTAAAGTCTCAGAAACAAATGCAAACGGGCAAAATGATCGAACCTCTACCAGGGCCACACATGATCGATTGGAAATTAAAAGAGGAACATGAAATAGGGGGTAAAGGAAAAAGTTTTCCGCATAAAGTATTAAAGAATGCTCCATCAATAAATAATAAATCGTTCCTAGTAAGCAGTAATGCTACAAAAAGTCAAGACTTATATTATAAAAAGTCGTCATTGACAAGAAGAGAACATTTGCAAAATGCAGAACATGTCACTGTGGATAGGTATGGTAGACCTATGTCCGTACACACAGAGACAATGAAGGTTCTGAATCAATTACCAGATTTATCCTTTTTAAGTGCTAGAACTTTATTATTTAATCGTGAGCAAAAACAAATTGTTCAAGACTTAGGTGCCATGATAAATCGGAAAATGCCTGGCTGAGTAACGTCGGTCTGAATACGAGTTTGATAAGGTAACATGAACAGAATCGAAAAAAATTTGTAATAGATACTCTCAACAATCAGTATAATCAAAAAATCTTCTGCTACCTTTCAAACCTGTGTTCAGACCAACCTCTGATCCATCTTGGCTCTTCCATGTTGGTATCATTGAAGAAGTTATGTCCTAAATGATATAACTGATGCTTCGGTATTTTACTACTTATTGGCACACAACAATGCACTTGACATTCCAAGATATGATTGTTTGTGATTATTATGAATTGTTGTTATTATAGTTATTCTTAAAAGTATTTCAATTTGTTTTACAATTGTAATTTAATATCTTGTTTCTTTTACGGACAATTGTCAAATAGTTAAGGTAAATATGTGTTTACTTTCTTTTATGTAGGTCACATAGTCACTAAATTTCAGTACATGAAAATAGTACATGAGATATTTGTTAATATTGTTTCATTTGACCATTTTCTAGTCTACACAAATTGGAAGAAGTTCCACACATAGTATATGTGTATGTGTGTGTTAAATTTTGTTAAGATATACTCATTGCAAATCTTTACCTAAGATAATACCTAAGAGTTTGACCTCTTTAAAGTATTATCATATGATTCTGTATTTACGATATTGCATGTTGCTGCTTTGCAACATGTTTGTATATTAGAGTATTTAAAAAAGAATGAGCAAAAGACAGATAGATAATTTTCCATGCAAATACATTACTTTTACACTCGAATAACACTGTTATCCCTATTCCAATATAGAATAATTATTATATTCATAAATATTCATGTCAGTTAGGGCAAAAAATACTTAAGTCAGAAAACAGTGGCTATGGTTCAATTTAATCAAGAAAGAAAGAAAAATAATGCATTCTGAAACTATTAGCAAAGAAAAGTATTTAAAACGTGATGTATATACAGATACATATACACATAAGCACGTATTTTTATTTTTAATGCTAAGGGAGAGTGCATATTTTTCTTTGCTTCAATTATTTTAGACATGGTCTGCATACTAATTGTAAGTCAATTACTTTAGATCCAAACCAGTTTTAACTGTTAATATATGTAATAAATCTGTCAGGTGACAATTTAAAAAAATGCCCACATTTGTCCCTTGACATTTTTATTACATTTTCTCAATTTCTATAAAAAAGAAAAAAAAAAGAAGAAACTAGGACGTGATACTTAAATATGTCATAAATAGCCTTTACATTGATTACCAAGATATTAAAATACTAAAAAATTGCTATTACTAAGTTCGTTATTTATTAATATTAATATTGTAATATATTATATATATATTTTATGTAAAATATTGTCGATAATAATAATACATAGGAAATCATTGAAAAGAAAATAGTATTATTCTTTTTCAGACATTATATATTGACATTATAATTATTTAACTCACTTTTAAGTATCATCCTTTTAAAATAAGACTTAAGATATAATTGAAATTGGTATTATATAATTTTATAATTTTTTTGTTTATTGTTATCTCATTTTGATATATCATATTTATTATGATATGTTATGTTTTATTGTTATTTCATTTTGAAATAGATATACGCAGTAGATGGCAGTAGTGTATCTAAAAATGTAATGGCGGCATTGGATCGCGTTCACCTATTCGACGCATGCGTAATTAACTGGCGTATGGTACGAGTGACGCCATTTTATACAAAGGATTTACGTTTCAAATTGAGAAGAGTTCGTAAAATCGTCTCTCAGTGATATACTTTTGCCGAGTTAAAATGATCTTCAACCAATCACATAGCAGAACTTTCGGGAAGCGTTGCAAAAAGTAAGGTTACTGTATATAAGCATTGACATTTTCCATTCCACGATATATACATATACATTATAATATGTACAACATATTGCGTGTTACATTTCGTATACAAAAGTAGCATGAGAAAAGATTGAAAACAGTGAAAGTCATAAATTAATTTGTATAACTTGAATTTATAATCGTCTTATGAGAAACTAAAATAGAGATTTTTTTCTCAAATTTTTATTTTATACCATTTTTTTTTTAAAAGTTTATGATTTTATCATCGACCGAATTGTACGACCTAATAAAATATTACAATATATACAAACAAACTACATATTATTTTGGTACTTTGTGTAAGTTAATTAAAAATATGATATAATATTATTAATATTATTGTTACAATACAATTTTTGCTTTGCAGTTTTACGAATAAGAAAGATAGAAAGTATTTGTTTTCTCAAGAGTTATCAGTGATGATGAAGGCAAGCGGAAGAAACTTAAGGTCTAGTAAGACAACAACTAATAAAACATCTACTAATAAAATTAATAGATCTACAATGAAATCTGGTACTGCAATGGAAAATAAAAAGACAACTATAAAAACCTTACGATCAACATCTAAAAAATCTGATTTAATGAAAATAGAGATGACAAGAGGAAAAGAAGAAAAGGAGATTGTATCAAGATCTAAAAGAAAAAATACTACTGGAAATAGAAGTACAAAACGCATAATTTTAAGTAGTAAAAGGAAAGCAAATATTCCAGAGGGAGTGAAGTTAAAGAATAAGTCATCAAGTTTTCGACAAATGTCTTTAAAAGAATCCTTTTCGAATCAGGAAGCTTTGTCCAAACGACTTCGTCCAAGAAAAGAGAGTAGGAATTATTGTGAGGATTCTGTATTACAGAAAACAAATATATCTCAGGAGCAAAAAAATATAGAATTAGAAAATGAACCAGGAGTGAGTGACAAGTTAAAATTGCCTGTATATAAGTCTGTGAAACTTAATGAAGAATCTTCAAGGAATGTGAATGATATATATGATTTTAAATTCGATGAGAATGATTCGAAAGAGAAATTAGGAGGGAAAAGAAAAAGACGTATTGTTAATCGGGTGGGACAAAAGAGAATAAAAAAAACTAAACGTACTAGACAGAAAAAAGTACCACAGGTGATTATAGAAAGATTATCAAGTGATGTAATATCGTTATGTACTATGAAGAAAATTGAAGATAATAATGAACAAAACCATGTGTTATTACCATCAATCAATATCGTAGAGAAATTTGAAGATGCTATTGAAAATCAAAATGAATTATCTCCACCTGTTGATGATAACAAATTTGAAGCTGAATCTAATAATGTGCCAAATTTAGAAGCAAATCATTTGCCGTCAACACAAGCTGTTTCTGAAGATACAAAAAAGCACCCAAATACTATCGTATCAAAATCTAAAATAGTTTCTATTGAAAATCTTAACAATAATGAAGTTTTGTTAATCGATACACCATTAAAATCAAAGCCAGACAATTTTGCTCCATTTAGGAAAACTAATGTATTTTGTAATAGAGTTAAATCTCATCAAGAAAATACGATAAATGATTCATTAATTAGTAAATCTTTGTCACCGATTAAAAAAGCATTTGTAAATTTTGACGTAGGTAGTCCTTGGAGATTATCACCGATAAATACTTTTTCTCAAGTGAAGAATCTATTTCAAAGTACGCCACAACCTAGGACGTTAGAAATATTACAAAGTAAAATTAAACCAAATACAAAAGATCAAGCTATAAAATGTTTGGAGACCGTTAAAAAGAATGATGTATCAGAAATAATTAATGAGGATATAAACAGGCAGAAAATTTGTGATAAATTTAATTACATAAACAGAAAAGTTGGACAAGCCATTAGGAAATTTGGAACAGAGATTACAAATTTAGATAATTCTATATCAATAAATAATAATACTGTAATTACTGAACAATATGAAGAAATGGCAAGCAATAAGGAATTAAGAGTTTCAAATAAGGATTTGCAGAATACAATCGGTACTACATCCATGGATTCTTCTGCATTCAATGACACAAACGAAGATAAAGAAAATGCTGCTCCTAAATCTCCTTCAAAGTCTAAGAAATTTTTAAGAAAGAGATTGAGAAAAGTCACTAATACGAGTTCTTCTCCTTTGCACAAAAAAAGACATATAAAGGATAAGGAAAATTTAAATATGCAATCACAACCTATTAGTATGCAAACATTTAGTCACAATGGTACTTTGCCACGTGCCCAAGAAGAAAAGCAAGAACAAAGTAAGGAAATTTTTGAACCTCAACCTGGACCATCGGGTTTACAAAAATTGAAGTCTCCTAATCAGAAACCATTACAACAAACAAATTTGAATGCTTTTTTAAATATAACAGAAATGCCTCAGAGTACTAGAATAAATACGGCTCATGGTATTTTCTGTGATGCACAATCAACGCCTATTAATGGTAAACATGTCAAGCCTATAAAAACGATAGCCGATACAAAACGTATGGAATTGGATAATGCTTTTGGATTTAATGAAGATACTGGCGACATAATTTTAGATATATCGCCAATTTATTCTGAATTAACGAGTAACAATGTACAAGATAGAAATATTTTGAAAACGAATGTTGAAGAAACGAAAAGAATATCATCGCTTCCTATGAGATATTTTCCGAAGGAAATGAAAAAAGATACAGTGTCAAAAAAAGTAAACGCTGGTGAAAACAATGAAAAAGGTAAAGAGAAGGAAAATGTAGTAGTAGAAGAACCTTTACCTGAGATGAAAAACAGGCTCATAGATACAGCTGCTTTTTCGGATACTTTCGATGTTTTGGGAGAAATAAAAGAGGTAAAGAATGATTCAGCAGATATACCATTGTTTACCGATCTTGAGCCTACTCATTTTACGGAGGTTTGTATCATTATAATATTATCATATCTTATCCTATGCTCGAGAGATTAATCTATTTACTCGAATATTATTTAGCCTCCTACGCGTTCGTACAAGAGGAAACGTAATGTCACGTATAATTTCTCTGAAAGTGGTAGCGAGGAAGACGAAGAAAATAATCACGTATCAGAGAGAAAAAGGAAAAAGCATGGAAAATTGAAGAAATACGAAATACGAAGAATGGAAGAATGGGTGAAAAGTATCAATGAAACTTTTCAAGATATCGATCATCACGAATTGGTGGTGGAATAAAAGTATAAGAAAAAGGGATCAATTATTATAATATCTTTATTTTCGTATAATGTATAATTTCTTTATTTTCGTTTTATCGTAGGGCCCTATTTTATTTGCGTTTTTATCATTCAATTTTAATAACGTACCGCGTAAGGTTTTTATAATTATTTTAGTTGTAAATGTATATGTATACATAATTTATCATACTTTATATTTTCCTAGGTCCCTCGCTGTTTATACATTACCATACATATTATTGTAAGATTACATAGCAACTTGAAAATGATATTAATATATTTATATCTGTTGAAAGTAAATGAAATATCTTTCATTTCATTATATAGATCGTATGGATCGTAAAACGTTTAGAAAAGGATTAGAAAAAAAGATTAGAAGAAAAGATTAACAAAAATTTTTTAATTTTAATCAAAACATATGTATCTAATTTTTTTCGAGGGCGACAATGCATTTGCAGATGCATCGTCGTTCTCGCGTTTCTTTATCGAATGAGTTAAGTCGGTAATATTAATGATCGTATTTCATTAACCACCAGGGAAAGGATCTGCGTGGATAAAGGAGAAAAGAAGAAGACTCACGATCGATAACAGGAAGCAGAACAGTAAGAATAAAGGATCAGCAGTTTCAAGCAATTGTCGCGAGGGGTCATTCGTGTTTCAGTGCAGAAACGAGAGGGTGGGGAGGTCGCGAACGATGCGCGCGCATCGGGCGAAGGGGGACATGCGCAGGAATACGGGCGAGTAGCACGTCTGGACGGTTAGTGCATGGCGGCCCGAGGCCCGTATCGATATCGTCGTATCGCCCACCACTCGAGCTGACGTCCCGGCCGGGCACGAGTGCGTGCGTGCGTGCGCGCGGTGCGCCGGATTTCTCTCTCTCTCTCTCTCTCTCTCTCTCTCTCTCTCTCTCTCTTTCTCTCTCTGTCTGTCTCTCTTTCTCTCTGTCTCTCTGTCTCCGTCCATCCGTCTCTCTCTTTCCATCCGACCTATCTATCTATTTTTCTCTCTCCCCTTTCCTCCTTCCCTTTCCCCAGACTATTTCCCTCTCTGTCTTCTTGATCTCGCACATCTCTTCCTCCTTACGCGTTCCTTGCGCGATTCCTTTCCTTTTATCATCCTCATCGTCCTCCTCCTCCTCCTCCTTCTCTTCCTGCTGCTGCTCCTAATAACCAGCCTCCACCCTTTTTATTTTCCATCTCCCTTCCAGCCGTCTCTCTTTTTTTCCCTCCCCCCTCCCCCTGCGACCAACCTCTTCAGGAGATCGCGCGCGCGCGCGAGCGACCGTTCGACGCGATCGTGGCGCGTTTTGCGCCAAAGTGCGCGACCGGCTTAACGCACACGTTCGTTCCTTCTCGCGTCACGCGAGTATCTCGTGTCCCGATCGAGTAAGTGCCTCTGTCATTCCTCTAAGACCTTCTTTATCCTTCTGGAATTCCAGGACAGCGAGCTGCCCTGTCTAGGATAAAAGAGAGAAAGAAGAAGAGGTGAAGAGGAAGTATCACGTCCTTCCGGTGAGTCCTTCCTTAAATTGTTTTATCTTCATGTCCTGTACCTCGTCTACCTTACCTACGGCATCTCCATCAAAGCCATTTCTTTTCGTACGAAAGTCTACGAACAGGAATTGTCTTCGCGAGTTAATACTCGAGTCGTCGATGAGTCGTCCGGTCTGATGTCATCGTCGTTCAATGTCAAAGGAAGTCATACCTATTGCGTGTCTTTTGAAACGTCACACACTTTCCACACGCATTCTAGTCAAACGTCACTCTTTGCGCACGTTACTTTTCCGTCATGAGCCGAGTCAAGTACACTTACTTACAGTTCCTTCCATATATATATATACATATATATAATATATATATATTATATTCCTCTGCTTACAAGAACTCGCTCGAATACGCGATAAGCTACGATCTCCTGACAAAACCTCTCATAGGAAATAGGTAAAAGAAAGAAAGAACAGAAAAAAAAAACTGGTCTCGCGAGATATCAAGGCAAGGATCTTTTTTTTTTTGGTACGAGAGGAACGAATCAACCATTTCCTTCGATGTAACTGATTTTTGATTCCAATTTTTCTTTCCTTTCCCCTCCCCTCTCCCCCATTTCTTTTTCTTCCTTTCTTTCGTCGTCTCTTCTCCCTTATCGAACCGTCATCTTGCTGTAGTCGACAGAAAGAGAGCAAAGAGAGAGAAAGAGAGAGAGACGAGATGTACCGCGAACGAGACGGCTTTCCTTCTCGTTTTCATTTCCGATCGGTGCCAGGAGAAGAAGGATGGTGATGGTACTGCCGCGAAGTTGGACGAAAGAACGAACCCGGTGCTCGGTCGGCTCTGACACGCTGCCTAACGATCCGGAAAACGTTCGAGGGGACGAGAATCGATTCGTTCTTCGTGAATGTGAATACGCCGATCTCTTTCTCTTTTTCGCTCTCGTGCCTAACGAAAAAGAAAGGAGAGCACGGAAAACAGTATAATACTCTCGAACGGCAGCATCCCACTCACTGTCGGTCACGCGTTATTCCACAACGGCGTTCCCAAACGACGCCACAGGTGTGGTCGTTGACTCCAATACTGAACGCTCTCGTACGATCGGTATCGATCGATTTCGAACCGATAAAGTATGAATATTTTCATACCGGAGAAAAAAAGCCGGCTTCGCGATGATAGATTTATCCGATTTCCGTCAAACGTCTTTGATTTTCTCCGCGAAATCGAACGACATAACATAGATCTCGAGAAGACGTTTCGAGTTGATGCTATTTCCTTTATCACTTTTTCTACGGCCGAGTCTTCGGAATACTGATTAAACGAACTTTAACAGGAAGTACGAAAAATGTAGAACGACATAGAACGATTCACGATTACTAGGTTATCATTTCACATATTCGTCCTATTTAGTCTGGTAATTACGTAGTAGGCCCTCTATACTAATTATAGATTAAACGTTTATAGGCAGATTAGATTAGATAGGAGTTAAACAACAAAAGAAAGGGGAAAAAAAACATAAGAATGGTCTCGGTCTATTTTTCGTTTAGATGGCCTATATATCTCGGTGCTGATAAGAACGTTAGTATCTTTAGCATCCTTAGCGTCGTTGAAGAGTTTCAGTTTATGGGAACGAAAAGAATTTTATCGTTTTTACGAAAGATCCTGGGATGATTAATCTACAGGGACGGATATTTAAAAGTTCGTTTGTGGAAAAGCCATCTCTGGACATTTAATTCGACGATACTCGTTGTTGTTCATTAGATTTCATGAAACGGTCGTACGGGTTACGCTCAATTTACTCGTTTCCGGAACGAATCGTGTCTATTCTGTATTCCTGTACATTTGCACGATGACATGTATCGCTCGATGTAAACTCGTAATCGTTTCGTAAATGATTCTATTATTTTTGTATCGTCTGCTCGTTCATTCGTTCTTTGAACCAACAATTTCTACAATAGTTTTCACGTATAGACATTATTTTGCCTCCTAGTTCAAGAGATTTCTAGATGTCTAAGGATTCGAGGAGGATCAACGACACTCGAGCTATAGGGAAGGCTAATTCGAGAACGGACTTTCATTTACGCTTTAAATCGAGCGAAACGTGACGTTCAACTCAACGATAAAGGGAAAGAGAGAGAGAAAGAGAGAGAGTGAGAGAGAGAGAGAGAGAGAGAGAAAGAGAGATACTCGTTTACAAGATTCTAAATACACCTATTCGGACAATGGAGCTACTTTCGAAATACGAAAATAGTCGCGCTTATCTGGTCGTTAATGTATTAGCTCGATCTTTGAGATAAATAACGATATGGTCAGTCGACGCGTATCAAATTAGATAGAATCGAACGAGTTTTTTTTTTCCTTTTTACATTCTACGCTTCAATTACGCATTTCTATTGAGCTCTTGATTGGAGGGATAACATGGAAGACAATTAAAATTGAGATGAGAAAACGATCTATCTAATCGCTCGTTATCGGTTAAAACTTATATTGTTCCTTATCATCGAGCCACGCGAAGATCCGCTATATTTACCAAGCTCTCTTTACGAGCAAACTATTTTTTAACTACGTAGATAATCTACCTCTCGTAGTTACGGTAGTACCGGAAACGGAAACGAGGAGGCAGGTATAGTATGCGCGTCGCATCGTAACCTCGCCTCGGATGTTACCTTCGTACATAAGCCAGAAGAACCATTTCGCTCGGTCTATTAACAATAATACGCCGAGAAAATCCTTTATCGCTTCGCATCGAAATGGAAAAGAAATGTTAGGGAAGATTCGTATTTTGAGATTAAATGCGATAGAGTTTAGGCTAGAAATTCGTTTTATCGTCGGGGCGAAACCGGTGGCTCGTTTTTTATCGAATAAAACGAACGGCCATGGCAAGATACCGGACTCTTTTCAGCTTTTCTTTTTTTATTTCTCTCTCTCTCTTTCTCTTTCTCTCTCTCTCTCTCTCTCTAACTTTCTCATCGAACGTAGAACGTCGTATCGATCACGCAACGGGGATTCAAATTCCACGGATCCGCTCGTATAGATCGGTCTAGATCGCGCGATAAAGCTCTCTCTCTCTCTCTCTCTCTCTCTCTCTCTCTCGTGGTTTCCAATCATCGTTGGTTCGCTCGTTTGGATATAACCGAGATATTCCATTATAGCTTAAACGATATAATTACGTTCCTATCTGGAGTCTCCTTCGAACAGAAACTAGATGGAAACGAGATGGAAACGAGATGGAAAGTTCATTTAGATCGCGATAATTCTCGTTGGAGTTTCCACGGATCATTAATGTATTAAAGTAGAAAGACAATGACCGAGCTCTGGTGAGGAGAGCAAGAAAATCGTTGAAGTTAACGCGGCGATACGCATGCACGCGTTTGCTTCTCCGCGAAACGAAACAGAGGCACGTTTATGCAGAAGGGAGAGTAGCACTCTCTTGAGTCAGGAGAGCGGTCAATCGAGTAGCAGCGAGATGGAAGTCGACGTTACGAAAGTTTCCTCGAAGAACTCGGAAAGTTCTCACCTAACGTGTCAAACCAATCTCCTCCGTTGCCCTTTAGTAATGCAGCTTTCTTCATTTATTAATGTCTCGCGCGTTTCAATGGTCGACGCGCTGAGCTTCTTTCAGCCGACGAGCATGAAATTACTATCGCGCCTACTTTCCTTTATTAAACGAGCAGCGCGACTACACCTTTAACCATTTTCCATCGTTAAAACATTTATTTATCGTTTCTCGCGAGAAATTAATTATATCTTTATATCTTGGAATATCGTCT